TATTGCAATGCAATACTCTCAGAATGTTTGTTATGTATGTGGTAAATGTGTTAGTCAATGTTACACACCAGAACACACACTGGAGATAAATTATAACTGTAATGCATGTCGTAAATGGGTTAGCCAATGTTACACATCAGAACACATACTGGAGATAAATTATATCTGTAACGCATGTCGTAAATGGGTTAGCCAGTGTTACACATCAGAACACATACTGGAGATAATTTATAACTGTAATGTATGTGGTAAATGGATTAGTCAATGCTATAAATCAAAACACAAACTGGCGATAAATTATAACTAGAATGTACGAGTGTCATTATGTGGTAAATGGGTTAGCCAATTTTAGACATCAGAACACATACTTGAGATAAATTATAAATGAAATGTATGTGGTAAATGGATTAGTCAATGCTATAAATCAAAACACAAACTGGCGATAAATTATAACTAGAATGTACGAGTGTCATTATGTGGTAAATGGGTTAGCCAATTTTAGACATCAGAACACATACTTGAGATAAATTATAAATGAAATGTATGTGGTAAATGGATTAGTCAATGCTATAAATCAAAACACAAACTGGCGATAAATTATAACTAGAATGTACGAGTGTCATTATGTGGTAAATGGGTTAGCCAATTTTAGACATCAGAACACATACTTGAGATAAATTATAAATGAAATGTATGTGGTAAATGGATTAGTCAATGCTATAAATCAAAACACAAACTGGCGATAAATTATAACTAGAATGTACGAGTGTCATTATGTGGTAAATGGGTTAGCCAATTTTAGACATCAGAACACACACTGGAGATAAATTATGACTGTAATGTATGTGGTAAATGGATTAGTCAATGTTATAAATCAGAACACAAACTGGCGATAAATTATAAATGAAGTGTATGTGGTAAATGGATCCTAGCACCAAAAAAAAATTCTGACTTAAGAAAAAACCACAAATCTCCCCCCCCCCCCCCCCCCCCCCCAAAAAAAATAAATGAATAATTAAATGGTTGCTCCCTTAGTCAATTCTACACATCAGAATACACACTGGAGATAAATTATGACTGTAATGTATGTGGTAAATGGATTAGTCAATGTTATAAATCAGAACACAAACTGGCGATAAATTATAAATGAAGTGTATGTGGTAAATGGATCCTAGCACCAAAAACAAATTCTGACTTAAGAAAAAACCACAAATCTCCCCCCCCCCCCCCCCAAAAAAAATAAATGAATAATTAAATGGTTGCTCCCTTAGTCAATTCTACACATCAGAATACACACTGGAGATAAATTATGACTGTAATGTATGTGGTAAATGGATTAGTCAATGTTATAAATCAGAACACAAACTGGCGATAAATTATAAATGAAGTGTATGTGGTAAATGGATCCTAGCACCAAAAACAAATTCTGACTTAAGAAAAAAACACAAATCTCCGCCCCCCCCCCCCCCCCCCCAAAAAAAGTAAATAATTAAATGGTTGCTCCCTTAGTCAATTCTACACATCAGAATACACACTGGATATGAATAATAACTGTAGAAATGTATGTGGTAAATGGGTCAGTAGTGACTTACAGAGACGCTAGGGAAATCACACTTTTGATAACCATTTCAAATGTGTTTTTTCATGTATGTGTGGGAAAGAGACCAAGCTTTGAAATGCACAGTAGAATACACAGTAGCAATAAGGGAACGACCATTAACTACCAGGGGGTATCGATTTTTCGTAAGGAGCTTATATTCTGGTTTTGAAATTTAAAAACTTTCGTGAGTTTAGCCCGCATGAGTCTTGGATATGATATAAACTTTCATGATTTTAGTAACTAGAATCACGCAAAAGTATTGAATGTGGTAAAAAAATAATCGTGATTTAGGTAACTGGCATCGCCACATTATGAGTCGTGGATGTGGTAAAAACTTCCGTGATTTATGTAATTTGCATCGCCTTATGAGTCATGGATGCAGTAAAAACTTCGAAAGAAAGAGACCGATTTCATTGAGCCGCAACTCCTCTGAAACCATACATAGTCGAAAATTTACAGACTCGATAAATCACATCACCGTAAAAATATATCCTGTTTGTTATAAGTTTGCTACATGTACAGGCAAACTTCCAAAACCAAAGCTTTGTATCCATGGAATTAAGTATAATAATGTTGTATAAATGTGGTGTTTTGTACTTCCTAAATTTGTCTTTAAAATAACCTTTTTTTTCACAGAAAACACCAATTTTTGGGTAATATCCAAATTCGGAGACTGTTATCAATTAATAATCAATGTTGATATATAACGAGATAAACACTGTTCAAAGATCTAATTACAGTGTTGAATTGGTTATTAATTTTCAAATTAACTATTAAAGGATTGGCAAGTTCACCCGGATCGTATCTAAATTTACAGACTCGATAAATCACATCACCGTAAAAATATATCCTGTTTGTAATAAGTTTGCTACATGTACAGGCAAACTTCCAAAACCAAAGCTTTGTATCCATGAAATAAAGTATAATAATGTTGTAAAAGTTTAAGCAATTTGTGGCAACGAAATTCCTGACTTACTAATTAATCGGTTATTAGATATAAGAAGATGTGGAATGAGTGCCAATAAGACACTCTGTATCCAAGTCACAATTTGTAAGTAAACCATTATAGGTCAAAGTTATTTTACTGTTAATGTTACTTTCATTAAAATCTAGAATGTCACTATAGACACGGGCATTATATATTAAGATTGTGTGGAAGTATAGTGTAAAAAGTTGAAAAGTCAAAACTGTCAACCGATAAATCCACCAAAAACACGTAATTTATCTTCAACTTCCAAATGATATTTTACACTCGAAAAATAGTTATTTTTATACTTATTTTTATAGTTATAAACAAGTACTGTGTTAGTAGTTAAAGAACTAGTTAAAAACACTGAGAGACCAGTTACAGAGCACATACTAGATGCCGAGATCGAAACGGTAGTTTAGTTTTTTTTGTAATATTGGAAACCCAAACATAAAAGGGATCTTTAAATATTGAGAAGAGGCATTAAGGAGGGATGTGATAATGACGTCATGATCATAAAGATAGGAAGATGTATGATGGAGACAACATCACATAGAAGTTAACAACTACAGGTCACCGTACGGCCTTCATTAATGAGCAAGACCCATACTTCATAGTAAAGTTTTATAATTAAGAGCCCTTAAATGACAAAATGTAATACAATCCAAACGAGAAAACTATCGCGTAGTGTATGTACAAAACGATAATCGAAAAAGAAATATGATATACAGCAAGAAACGACAACCAGTGAATTACAGATTTGACTTGGGACAGACACATACATAATGTGGATAGATAAACATGTTTGATGGCGCATAACCCAATGGGACAGCGGTATAACAGTACAACAAACTATATAAAAAAACCAATTGAAAAGGACTTGACTTATCAGCGCAAACCCCTAACAAAACACAAAATACACAAATTACCGATCTGAGAATACTCGCAATTTTCCGGAAAGCTAGTTCAGCATGTTCAGAGCCAATAACGACAAGTAAAAAAGTCAAAAATTATACCTTCAAGATCCGATGGATTTAGTGTAAAAATATCGCTAAAAGTCAGAGAAAAATATGACCTTGTACAGTGCCAAAATATAGGTATCGATCGACAGATTGTGGGACCGTGGATGTACATTTTAAGTGTTTAACAATTATATGTACTATTATCGCACCGCGGGTAAATTATTACGTTTATTGGTTTAACGTCGTCACGTGGTGACCCCCTATGGATCCGTGGGGGGGGGGGGGGTATTAGATTTCATAGTGGGTTCATGACGTCACGGCTACTGTTAATGGTGACGTCATCTATTGATGTTTTTTGTATTTCATTGTTTATTTTTCTGCAGAAAAAGTATCGCGTGCGATAAATTCGTTATACGGTTCACTACTGACCCCCTACAGATTATATAGGGTGAATAAAATACATAGGGGATTCGGCCTTCGGCCTCACCACCTATGGATTTTACTAACCCTCTATGGATCCGTAGGGGGTCAGTAGCGAACCATATAAGTTATATATAGTAGTACGTTTCGTGCATGACTTTTCGTTCACGTGGAGGAATATTTTGAGTTATTCGAATTTCATTTTGTTTGGTTCGTTCAGATTTGTTTTGTTATCTTTTTTAAAAACTGTATATACTGACATCTTGGATTGTACAATAGCAGTACACAATATCTCTAGTTCTTTGCTTAAATCTACAAACTCTGAGACACATTGACTATTAATATGTAAAACTGTTTAATTTGAATAAAGAAAAATAAGTGATACGTTGCATTTTTAACACTATTTTAGAAAATTCCAAATATTTGCTTTTGTTCGAATCAATTTTCCAACTGTCATTTAAGGGGAGATAACTGTAATAATATTGTTACAAAGGAATGTTGATGAATATTCATTTTCCAATTGTAGCAAGAAAACAGATTCGGTGACACCATTTTTTCATTTTTATTTTCTTAAAGCATATTTATTGAAATTGGATCATAAACAACAAGTAAAAACTTACTATACCTTTTCACGTTTTCAAAATTTTATCACATAGCTAGATTTCTTTTTATGCACAAAAATGTATTTTTTCATGAATAATCTAATTAAGTCAGGTAATTTTGCACGATATGTAACTTTAAAAAAGCACGGTGAACCATATTTTTACAATATTTGCATGGTATTAAAAAACTATAAAATGTTGGCAAAGAATAAGAAAATTCGTTGCAATGGTCCACCTTAAAAAAATGAAAATCGTAATGAGAATTGAATCAATCTTATCTTGAAATATATAAATATATAATTATGGTGTAAATATGTCACTGGTTTAAAAACCAGCATCAGAAGTCCATAATAAGTGCACTTCCGTTGGTAAAAATGCGGACGGCTTTGTTACACCAGCTGGCGTTCCATACGTATTCGTAAATTAGTTATCTCCCTTTGGTATTGTTATTTATCCGGCTGTGAAATTTACATGATCTTACGTGACTTGTTCATTGTTGTTTATGTGTTTGATTCAAGAAAAGGTAAAGGTAAACTTGTAAGTATACAATTATTATTTACCTATTTTATATTTGATGTCAGTGTTTTCGGACTTTTAAAACTGCAAAACAACCATGACAACAGAACTAAGTAGGATATTACTGCTGGTATATTATATTTCGATTAAATATGTTTATGTAATATTATTAAAATTTACAATCAAATCTCAGATTGAAACTATTAACCGTTGACTTAACTTCAAATAACTGAACAATATAAAGATATATATAAAGATATAGTATAGTTAGTTTTAAATGATTTACACAGATGTTGAAGAAATGTGTCTATGGAACGCCTAATGTGCAATATAATTGATAGCGTTCTAGCTTTAGTACATCGGTACCTCGAATGACCGAATAACACCGTTATTATCCAAATAACACTTGTAATGACCAAATAACACTTGAAATTTTAATATTAGCACATATTGGTAACATTTAAACATTGATTATTAAATAATAGCATATTATAAGTGTATTTCATAAGGCCAAGTAAATTTAATTAGTAGATTTTCATCCAAATTTTTGAAAAAAATGGGGTGGGTGGGAGGATTTTATTTTTTATTTTTTATTAGATATGAAACGCTCTTGTGACGTGTTCTTCATATATGCAAGTGTAATAATAAGGTTCTATCATGTATATACATGTATAACGAATCAAACATACAAAGAAATGTAAAAACCAAAATTTGAAACAGGATGTTATTAATGAAACGAAATTATCGACAGTTACCGGTAACGAAAATGAACAAAATCCGGAAATCGTAAATTTTTCAAAATAAAAAAAATTGGGGCGGAACGATTTCAGAGGGGCGGGCGGGGATGAAAATCTATCAATTAATTTTAATTGGCCTAACTTAAAATGATTTACAGAGAGCAGGTTAAAGTTCATAAAGATCATTATAAATATAGTGTGTACATCCAACATGGCGACCAAGGAAAACACAATGGGAAGAATAAAAGTATGATTGCATATGCATTCAAAGGGAAATGCTATGAAAATAAAGTATTTAATAATGTACTGTATATATACAGAATATTGTCCAATAATTGTTTTTCAGTAAGGTTTTGAAAAGTTAACAAGTACATCAAAGCCATGCAATTACTCCAATCACCTATTAGTTTTCTTAACGATGTACTCAATATATGCTTTCTGTAAATCATTTTTAAGTTACAAAATACACTTATAATATAATATTATTTAATAATCAATGTTTAAATGTCAAAAATACGTGCTAATATTAAAATTTCAAGTGTTATTCGGTCATTACAAGTGTTATTTGGATAATAACGGTGTTATTCGGTCATTCGTGTTACCCCTAATACATTGTATCAAGGAATTGTATATTTAAATTTAAATATACAATTCCTTGATTGTATACTGTACATGTCATTGTATTTATTTATGTAATATTTTCAAATTAAAATATTAATTTTCAATGAAGTGTTAATAATTATAGAATAACTAATCGAAGAATTCAAATAGAGAAAAATATTCAACGAGTGACAAAACAACACATTAATTCATGAATGCGCGTAGCGCATGAGTAAATTATCAGTGTTGTTCGGTCACGAGTTGAATATTTTTCGATATTTGAATTCTTTGATTAGTTATTCTTTTTATTACATTGGCAAATGGCTTTTTTATGAAATTGAAGTAGAAAACGTAAGGAACTATATCTTTTTCTACGCATTCACAATTTGTTTTGATCCGACGTTATCGACGTCTTGACAACGCCTATTGTTGTATGACGTCAGAGGAGTGAAATAACCACGTTTATTTCACATGTGAAATTATTGGTTTTTATTTCACTGGGAAATCAATGTTATTCATTGCAACCAATGTAAAAAAAATTTATAATTTACAATTAATGCCAGTAGATTATTTCAAATCTTCAATTTTCATGATTTTAAAATGTAAATATTTGATTCAGTTATGTATTTATAAACATATGGCAGTAATGAGTTTATAAGTAAAACAAGAAGCTTTCAAGAGCCTGAATCGCTCACCTGTTATTTTTTTTGCTTAAATCTTTCATCAATGATTATTTTTGCTTTTCAATATATATTAATGAGTGGCTTAAAAATGCCATTTGAATGTTCATTGTATCCGTCATATATTCTTCAAAAGCAAATAAATGCATATTACCCATATGTTCCATTTTAGCCAAAGTGTCTATGTTTCTTGACGTACAACATGTACAAGGAAATGAAATACAAAATGAATACTAGATTCATTTGAGAAGATTTTTAAAGTTAAAAAACATAAACAACTTGTGTAAAATTGTCCTTAAAGGACAATAACTCCTTATGGAGTCAATTGACAATTTTGGTCATTTCACTTTTTTGTAGATCTTACTATGCTAAACATTATTGCTGTTTACAGTTTATATCTATCTATAATAATATTCAAGATAATAACAAAAAACTGCAAAATTTCCTTAAAACTACAAATTTAGTGGCAGCAACCGAACAATTGGTTGTTCAATTCGTCTGAAATTTCAGGGCTGATAGATCTTGACCAATTGAACAATTTTCCCCCATGTCAGATTTGCTCTAAAAGCTTTAGTTTTTGAGATATAAGCCAAAAACTGCATTTGACCCCTATGTTATATTTTTAGCCATGGCGGCCATGTTTGTCGACGGATACAATTTATAAACTAGATACCCTAAGGAACATTTAGTTAAAGTTTGAAGGTATTTGGCCTAGTAGTTTCAGAGCAGAAGATTTTTGAAATAGTTTACGACGACGACAGACGACATACGACGGACGCCAAGTGATAGCATAAGCTCGCATGGAGCTAAAAATCCAAAAAAATAATCAGGGAGATAACCCTAGGATTTAAGTTAATTATCTTTGTCTCGCCTGCGACTTTTTGTCGCAGAATGAGAGACATAATTAATATAACAATCTGGCAGTGGTGACGGTGTAAACTATTTGTATAAAGCATTATATTTCAGAAGCTAGAAGACTTTGATACTTGATACCTTGTATGCAGGTACATGATGTATCTTACATCTAATATGAAGTTTCTGTTTGTTATATGTCCATTGTCCTTGACCTCATTTTCAAGTTTCAGTCACTGCTTTATAGTGAAATACTTTCAAATTGAGTAATAGGATGGCAAATTTGTCCTGCACAGTGTTTTTCCTTGACCTCATTTTCATAGTTTATTGGTAAATTTAAAGATTTTCAAGGTTTGGTCTGTTCCTCAGGTACTATAAGGGATAGAACCGATATATTTGGTGTATATGATGATTGTTAGGTGTACATGTCTGTCTGACAGCCTCTTGTTAAGGTTTGGTCTGTTCCTCAGTTATTATAAGGGATAGAACCGATATATTTGGTGTATAGGATGATTGTTAGGTGTACATGTCTGTCTGACAGCCTCTTGTTAAGGTTTGGTCTGTTCCTCAGGTACTATAAGGGATAGAACCGATATATTTGGTGTATAGGATGATTGTTAGGTGTACATGTCTGTCTGACAGCCTCTTGTTAAGGTTTGGTCTGTTCCTCAGGTACTATAAGGGATAGAACCGATATATTTGGTGTATAGGATGATTGTTAGGTGTACATGTCTGTCTGACAGCCTCTTGTTAAGGTTTGATCTGTTCCTCAGGTACTATAAGGGATAGAACCGATATATTTAGTGTATAGGATGATTGTTATGTGTACATGTCTGTCTGAGAGCCTCTTGTTAAGGTTTGGTCTGTTCCTCAGGTACTATAAGGGATAGAACCGATATATTTAGTGTATAGGATGATTGTTAGGTGTACATGTCTGTCTGACAGCCTCTTGTTAAGGTTTGATCTGTTCCTCAGGTACTTTAAGGGATAGAACCGATATATTTGGTGTATAGGATGATTGTTAGGTGTACATGTCTGTCTGACAGCCTCTTGTTAAGTTTTGGTCTGTTCCTCAGGTACTATAAGGGATAGAACCGATATATTTAGTGTATAGGATGATTGTTATGTGTACATGTCTGTCTGAGAGCCTCTTGTTAAGGTTTGGTCTGTTCCTCAGGTACTATAAGGGATAGAACCGACATATTTAGTGTATAGGATGATTGTTATGTGTACACGTCTGTCTGACAGCCTCTTGTTAAGGTTTGGTCTGTTCCTCAGGTACTATAAGGGATAGAACCGATATATTTAGTGTATAGGATGATTGTTAGGTGTACATGTCTGTCTGAGAGCCTCTTGTTAAGGTTTGGTCTGTTCCTCAGGTACTATAAGGGATAGAACCGATATATTTAGTGTATAGGATGATTGTTATGTGTACACGTCTGTCTGACAGCCTCTTGTTAAGGTTTGGTCGGTTCCTCAGGTACTATAAGGGATAGAACCGATATATTTGGTGTATAGGATGATTGTTAGGTGTACATGGTTACATATATAAGAAGATGTCTGTCTGACATGGTGCATATGACCATGACTTCTTTTTGATTATTATGTGTTTATGTTACATACACATAACAGTGTTTTCCCCATAATGTTCTAATAGCACCATGGAAATTAACATAGCACTGGTTTTCCAAAAACATATAGCACCATGCCCCATTACATTCTATTATTATACGACCGCAAAAAATTTTTGCGGTCGTATATTGGTATGACGTTGGCATCGTTGTCGTCGTCGTCCGAAGACACATTGGTTTTCGCACTATAACTTTAGTTTAAGTTAAAGTATCTCTATAAAATTTTACCATAAGGTTCAATATCACAAAAGGAAGGTTGGGATTGATTTTGGGGGTTATGGTACCAACAGTTAAGGAATTAGGGGCAAACAATAAGCATTTTTCTAGTTTCCAGACAATAGTTTGTGGAACGGTGTATGGATCTCTCTGAAATTATACCACAAGTTTCCATACCACAAAGGGATGGTTAGGATATGCTTTGTGGGGTTATGGCTCAAACCGTTTAGGAATTAGGGGCAAAAAAAGTGAAAAACAAGGGTGTCCTGGTTAATTGACAAACATTTAAGTACAAAACATAATTTTAAAGCAGTGTAAGGGAGGTAATTCAAATACATCATTTGAATTACCTCCCTTACACTGCTTTTAAATTATATATAAATTAATGGTTAATGAACAATTAAGATCATTTAAAAGCAGTGGAAGGGAGGTAATCCAAATACAACGTTTTGATTACCTCCCTTACACTGCTTTTAAATTATGTTTAAAGAAATGCATATTTATAAAGGAAGACCAGTAAAAATATCTGCAAATGTTGCATCTTTTTTTTTTACAAAAAAATCCATATGAAAGGTTTGACACCATATTTTAAATTCTATTATAAAATAGATTAAGTTAGCACTAGTTATGGAAAATTTAAATGGGTAATTATGGTTGCAAACTCCATCGGAAATTTGAATTGAGATCTTGGGGGAAAGATTTTTTTGGGAAAAAAAGGAGGGGGGGGGGGGGTTTGAAAAGAAATTGGGGGGGGGGGAGTTCAATTTTTTTCTCATTTCAGAAAAATACTACAAAAAAATTTTTTTATTGCCAAAAAAAAGTGTGTGTGTGTGTGTGTGTGTGTGTGTGTGTGGGGGTTAATACGTAACAGCATAGTGTATTGCACAAGAGCAAAAAAAGGGGGGGTAAATTTTTTAATTTTTTTGTGGGGGAAGGGGGGGGGGGACAATTCGCAACAGCAAAGTGTATTGCACAAAAGCAAAAAATTGAATATTAATTCAAATCATATAACCAGTTCTAAGTTTGACTACAGTTATTCTGTGTCAGAAACCTTCTATGTGTCAAATATTTAATTACAATCCAAATTCAGACCTGTATCAAGCGCGAATATTGCGTCCATTTTTGCCCCAACTGTCCAGGATTGGACCTCTGCGGTAGTATCCAGCTGCGCTCGGCGAAGCAATTTATCAGATTATAAAATCATTCAAGATAGCACCATGGTAGAAAATATAGCACCAGGGTACCATGATGCTTTAAGGCCCTGGATTATAGATTGTCAACATGAATTCAGTTATTAGTAAAACAGACAAGGCATTTTAGCGTGTGCACTCTTGTTTATACATGTATTCATGATTTTTTTAATAAGTTCATAAAATTAAGAGATGTGGTAGGATTGCCATTGTGACAACTATCAAAAAGTCCAAGAAAAACAAATACTATTTTATCGCACCGCGGGTAAATTATGACGTTGTGATTCATCATTGGTCACGTGCCATTGAGACAACTATCAAACAGTCCAATTAAAACAAATACTATTATGTCAGACAGCAACTAAATACAACCACTGATATAAAAGGTTCTGTCATATACAATGACATATAGAATGTGGAGGGGTTAACATGTTTTTGAGAGCTCAATCTTTCCTAATGTTCCTGAAGGTATGACAGTCACAGACAAGCATAGAAAACGAGTTTGAAATTTTTACAATGTTAGAAGGGGCAAGAGAAAATCGCTGTCCAAAAAAAGTGAATATTATCAATAAGGACCAGGAACTTCAAAGTCATATCATTTGTAAACTTTTAAATTGATTTTCTTCTTGCATTGTCTTGTGAAACGTAAATATTTATATCTAGAAAATTTGTTTTTATAATAGTTAATTTCTTTTTTTTTAGACTCCAGGCCACTCAGAGAAAATAAGTTGGTCAAGAGTGTACAGAAACCAATATATTGTCATACAAATAAAACAGACAGATCTCTAATTACCTTCCTTGATCTGTTATTACCTCCCTTGATCAAACTACAGTTCATTTTGTACTGGAACATATCAGCTTCATACTGGAGGAAATAAACTTTGTAACGATTGTAATATTTGTGCTGTATAAAAAAGGAAAACACGAAGACACATAATGCTGAGTAAGAGGAGCATATCAGAAAATATACTGCATAGTTTAAGAACACATACTGCAAAGTTGCAGGAACATATCTATAATTGGTAAACTTAAAAAGGTGTAGTCAGAGACATGAGAACACACACTAGTGATAAACTGTATAGATGTGATATATGTGGTAAAGGGTTTGGTCAAAGTTCAAGCTTGCAGAGACACATGAGAATACATACTGGTGATAAACCTTATAAATGTAATATATGTTGTAAAGGTTTTGGTGAAAGTTCAAACTTGAAAGGACACATGAGAATACATACTGGTGATAAACCTTATAAATGTGATATATGTGGTAACGTGTTTAGGTATAGTTCAAATTTACAGATTCATACGAGAACACACACTGGTGATAAACCTTATAATTGTGATGTATGTGGTAAAGGGTTTAGGTATAGTACAAGTTTACAGATTCACACGAGAACACACACTGGTGATAAACCTTATAAATGTGATGTATGCAATAAAGGTTTTGCTCAAAGTTCAAACTTAAAGATACACATGAAAACACACACTTGTGACAAATCTTATAAATGTGATGTATGTGGAAAAGGGTTTAGGTATATTTCAAATTTACAGATTCACACGAGAACACACACTGGTGATAAACCTTATAAATGTGATGTATGTGCTAAAGGGTTTAGGTATAGTTCAAATTTACAGATTCACACGAGAACACACACTGGTGATAAACCTTATAAATGTGGTGAATGTGACAAAGAGTTTAGTCAGAGCCAACATTTACATAGACACATGAGAACACATACTGGTGATAAACCTTATAAATGTGTTAAATGTGGGACAGGATTTAGTCAGACTGGTGAATTACAGAGACACATGAGAATACACACTGGTGATAAACCTTATAAGTGTTACATGTGTGATAAAGGGTTTAGTGATCGTTCAAATTTACATAAGCACAGAAGAATACACAATGGAGATAAACCTTATAAATGTGTTAAATGTGGTAAAGGGTTTAGTCATAACTGTAACTTACAGAAACACATGAGAACACATACTGGTGATAAACCTTATAAATGTGATGTATGTGGTAAAGAGTTATGCGAACGTCGTGGCTTAGAGAGACACATGAGAATACACACTGGAGATAAACCTTATAAGTGTCACGTGTGTGGTAAAAGGTTTAGTGATCGTTCAAGTTTACATAGGCACAGGAGAATACACACTGGAGATAAACCTTATAAATGTGTTAAATGTGGTAAAGGGTTTAGCCAGACTGAAATCTTACAGAAACACATGAGAACACACACTGGCGATAAACCTTATAAATGTCACGTGTGTGATAAAGAGATCTGTGAACGTCGTGGCTTAAAGAGACACATGAGAACACACACTGGCGATAAACCTTATAAATGTCACGTGTGTGATAAAGAGCTATGTGAACTTCGTGGCTTAGGGGGGGGGGGGGGGGGGGGGGGCTAGGATGAAAAATTTCGTCCTGCTTTTTTTTTAGTTGTAATCTCTGTCCTGCCTTTTTATTTTTTACTCTATTCGGTTCTGCCTTTTATTTTACTAGTTTATCCTGAATTTTTTTACACAAATTGTCATCCTGAATTTTTTTTTACCAAGTTGCTCATCCTAGCCCCCCCCCCCATAAAAATCAAATGGTAGCTCCCTAAATGTGATGTATGTGGTAAAGGTTCTGGTCTTCTCACTGACACCCACACGAGAACACACACTGACCCAACGTATGAATGTGATGTACTAGTACATGTATGTGGTAAAAGTTTTAGTCAACTTAGTTACTTACTGACACACACGAGAACACAAAGACGGTCCGACACAGCGTATGAATGGAATGTATGTTGTCAACGTTTTGGTCAACTTAGTTTCTTACTGACCCACACAAAAATACCTACTGTCACAACGTAGGAATGAGATGTATGTTGTCAACGTTTAGTGAGCTTAGTTTCTTACTGACACACACGAGGAGACACACTCAGTCAGACACAATGTATGAATGTGATGTATGTTGTGAACGTTTTGGTCAACCTAGTTTCTTACTGACACACACAAGACCATACACTGACACAATGTATGAATGTTGTCAACGTTTTGGTCAACCTAGTTTCTTACTGACACACACAAGAACATACACTGACACAATGTATGAATATGAAGAATGTTGTCAACGTTTTGGTCAACTTAAGTTTCTTACTGTCACACACGAGAACACACAGACAGTCAGACACAACGTATAAATGCATGAATAGAATAGAATAGAATAATTTTTATTGCTAATCACATAATTACATACACGCAATTATTCCTGGAACAATTTACCGATAATAATGCAGAAAATAGTACTAATTTCACACGTCGCAACATGCTCAAGAATATACCTATTACGCTTGGATTCTGCTGGATGCCCAAAGACTTGAAGAAAAATGGGAATCCGGTGAAATACCTTTGCAATTATTTACGATGCATCTCTATGAAATATACCCTGGCTTAAGTGTTTTGTCTATACGGAAAGTAATTCCATCGTACACAAAAAATAAATTGCTTCGCTGAGCGTAGCTGGATACGACCGCAGAGGTCCAACCCTGAACAGTTGGGGCAAAAATGGACACAATATTCGCGCTTGATACAGGTCTGAATTTAGATTGTAATTAAATATTTGACACATAATAGGATTCTGACACAGAATAACTGTAGTCAAAGAACTTAGAATTGGTTATATGATTTGAATTTATATTCAATCTTATCATTTTGTGCAATACACAGTGCTGTTGCGAATTGACCCCCCCCCCCCCCCCCATTTTTTTGTTTAACCTCCCCCACCCCTTTTTCCAAAAAAATTCTTTACATCAAGATATGGTCATAATCTCAATTTAAATTTCCAATGGAGTTTGCAACCATAAAAACCAATTTAGATACATCATAAAAGTATTAAAATAGAAAATGACATACATAATCATGGCTAAAATTAATATACCTTCATCAGCATTTAATAGTAAATCTAAAAATAAATTGACAGCTAATCACCTCAAGACAATACAACATTTCTTTATAACAAAACCATTGTAAGGAAGGTAACTCTTAATGCTAAAAACCCCAAACAAATGATATTGATCACAAATAAAATTTTTTTATTACCACTGAACCCTTTGATATACACTATTATTATATTATATTATATATACCTCCATCACAGTATTTGATGTTTCTAGAAACAGCTAGAAATAGTTCATACTAGAACTAGCAGACAACTTTACATAATTTAAATACAATGTAAGGGAGGTAATTCAAATATAACATTGTAATTATTATCTTTTAGATTTTAATGTTTATTGAATCAAACAAAACAAATTTTATAGCCTTAGGACCAAAATTTTGACCAATTAGAAAATGGGACCAACAACCAAATACACAGTTAAATTCAGCATATGAAAAAAATTGTAATACTAATAGCATGGAAAATTGTAATAAAAATGTTCTTTTCTATATACTGTAAAATGTCATGAATCAATCGAATGATATCCCTCATATAATGCTTAATGGTCCAATATCGATTTCATAACGATCCAAAGACCAATACTTAAGTAATTGTCCATTAACCAGGAAACCCTTGTTTTTCCCCTATTTTGCCCCTAATTCCTAAACGGGTTGATCCATAACCCCCAAAGCCAGACATAATTTTTTTTCGGATTTGTTCCGCGTTTTGAAAATACAACAGATTTTTCACAGATTTTGAAGTAGAATTTCAATTAATTACATTCACGATCCGATCGCAATGCTTGACCACCGTTAGGTATCTTTTCACGATCATTTCTCTCGATAAACCGATTGACAGCCGTGTTTTGTCTATGCAACAACCCTCTGTGAAAGAAATTTTAATTGGAAACCCAGGCGCTTGAATATCATACCAACTTGGATATACATTCAACTTAAACAGGCGTTGCTGGAATGTTGCTACGTAGAAAGGGAAATTTCACAATAGGAAAGCTGAAATCATCTCTTTTGTCATAAAATTAAGTTGTCAATCGAACTTCATGGTCAGTTTCACAGATGACGACAGATATAATTATACTCCACTATTATCATAACCACAATTTTATTCTAAACGATCAAAATAAATGTATCAGATTTATAAAAAAAAATTAAAAAGACACATAAGAACACATACTGGTGATTAACCGTTTGAATAAAAAGTAAATTAACAAAAATACCGAACTCCGAGGAAAATTCAAAACGGAAAGTCCGTAATCAAATGGCAAAATCAAAAGCTCAAAAGCTTCAAACGAATGGAAAATAACTGTCATATTCCTGACTTGCTACATTGTCTTATGTAGAAAATGGTGGATTAAACCTGTTTAATAGCTAGCTTAACTTCTAACTTGTATGACAGTCGCAGAAAATTTCATTATATTGACTATATTGACTATCGTGTGTACAAAAAACAGACATAATAGGTAATTGAATGTGATATGTGCGGTAAAGGGTTTTGTGATAGTTTAAACATATACACATGAGAACACACACTGGTGATAAACTGTTTGAATGTGATATGAGAGGGAAAGGGTTTGGTGATAGTTCAAATATATACACATGCATTGAGAACACATACTGGTGATATAAACCGTTTGAATGTGATATGAAGTAAAGGGTTTTGTGATAGTTCAAACATATACACCTGAGAACACATACTGGTGATAAACCGTTTGAATGTGATATGTGAGGTAAAGGGTTTGGTGACAGATCAAACTTATACACATGAGAACACATACTGGCGATAAACCGTTTGAATGTGATATGTGCGGTAAAGGGTTTGGTGATCGTTCAAATATATATACATGAGTACACATACTTTTGATAAACCGTTGGATGTGATATGTGCGGTAAAGTGTTTGGTGAGAGTTCAAACATATACACATGAGAACACATACTGGTGATAAACCGTTTGAATGTGATATGTCATGTATGTGCGGTAAAGGGTTTGGTGATACACCTCTCAATACAGTATTTCAGAGATACACGATTATATGAATGAATATGGCTTGAGTGAATATGAGGTCACGTTTTTCTGGTATAACTCTGGCGACAAACTAGCGACAAAAAGTAATAACGGTGAGATAACTCAACTAAATTACCGTATTCAATATTTTTTAAGGGGGGGGGGGGGGGGAGGGGGGAGTGTGGGGTGTGTTAAAATGTAACAGTATAATGCCATTAGTTGAAGAACACGAGTTTAGTTTGTATATATATTTATGAGCACCAACAGGGCGGATCCAGTCATTTTTAAAAGGGGTTTCCAACCATACGTCCCCATTCAAAATCATTGATCGTTAAAAAAAGGAGGGTTCCGACCCCCCTTTCCCTACTTGTGTAGAAGTGTTCTGTTGTAATTTCGCTCTTTTTCAAATAGTGGGTAAACTGGCTCAAAGAAAATCTCTCTTTCAAATAAATACGCTTCAGTTTTTGACGCGTTCGCCGCACAGGGACTTTGTATTCAGATCAACATTTGTATGCTGCCGCCTTTAGGCGAAGGGGGCATCTAGTGTTACCCTTATCTTTTTTTAAGTCCGTCCGTCCGTCTGTATATATGTACAGTATGTACGTCCGTCCGTCCGTCCACGCACGTCCCAAAATTTGTTTCCTGACTTTAGTTTGCCTTAACCACATGTTATGAAACGTATACCCAATGCTTATTACTATAAAACACAGATCAAGTTCGTATTTGGGTGGCGTCACTTTTACAGTTCTCCAATTGCGTCCCTTTATGATGTGATATGGAAGCGGGGGCAGCATCTGTGTCCCATGAACATATTCTAAATTTAATTTTAATCAGGAATCAATATTTCGTAGTTTAATAGCAAATAAATATATATACATCCACGTCTTTTTAATAAAAAATCCTAGAGGGATCGAAGTCGCCATGTTTAATGAAAAATTGTTAAAATTATTTCTATGTTGCTATACCTAATAAAGGCATACATTTCCTTCCTAAATGATTTTTCGATCGGAAGCATGTATTGATTTCCTGATGAAAGACTACCTTACTCAGCTATAGTTGCAATCAGGTCAAAACATAGAGGCAGTGAGATATAATTTTATATATGTCATTACATCCAGTGGCAAATATTTCATGCATACTCAGGATAAGAAGTGATTAACAATAAATCCAGTACTAGGAGTGGGGCCTCGGTGTCCGAGTGGTCTAAGTAGTTACTACTGTAATCACTAGCCAGTCAACACTGAGGTTGTGAGTTCGAACCCCGCTCGTGCGGGTGCATTCGACTCCAATCTTAATTGACTAGGATTGTCAGTTTCCTATCGAAGGTCTGTGGTTTTCTCCAGGAACTCCGGCTTCCTCCACCAATAAAAACTGGCCGCCACGAAATAGTCCAAAAGTGGTGCTTAAAAGTGGCGTTAAAACACCAAACAATTAATCAAATCAAATCAATACTAGGGGTCGACCAGAATAAAGAGCGGTAATATGAAGCAGTAATATTCACTGTAAGTCCATTCGGAGGGCAAACGTCATCCATTTTAATTGAGTAACGCCATTTTCATCTGTCTTTTATAATTTGTTCTTATATTGTACTGTTACATGTACACCACTGTTCCAGGGTAGGGAGAAGGTTTGTGTGCCAGCAAACATGTCTAACTCCGCCCCATGCTGTATGTGCACGTCACAAGTCATGCAGGAGCATGTCATTCAGTAACTGTTTTTGATGCTGTATATCGTATTTGTTTGTCGTTTACTGTTTTGTACATATATCAGGCTGTAAGTTTTCTCGTTTGAATTTCTTTACATTTCTGGATCTTTCATAGCTTACTATGCAGTATGGGCTTTGTTGATTGTGTTATAATTTAATTTTGGATGTAACGCGTCTTCCGATTGGCTGACGTTGTTTGGTTTATCAGCTCATAGACATAATTTTGTCATGTGACCTTGACGTCAGTAACGTTTTTTCCATGATTTACTCCGAAAATGGAAATAAGAATTAAATTATAAGAAATGACTGTAATATTTTTTCTGTCTATTCGAAATAACATAAAAAATATGGTGCACACTTTAAAATAACCCGCTACGCGAGTTATTCAGTGTGTACCACCTTTTTGATGTTATTTCTTCATAGACAGAAAAAATATTACAGTTATTCCTTAAATAATGTATAAAAACTTTAAAAAGTGTGTTTATTATGTGGCTCTAGAAGTTTACAAATTCACTAATGCTATAACCACCTACACCACTCATGTGTCCACGCCAGTTAAAAAATCACGGTAGGTTTCACTTCATTCAGGACTCACCAGGCGCGGGGTTTTAAGCCTTAGAACATAAAGAAACGTTCTCATAATCGAAATTTTTTTTTTGGAAAAGTTGGATTTATCCCCAGGAACACCCCTAGATACGCCAATGCTCATTTGTCTACGCCAGTTAACACAATCACGGAAGTTTTAACCACATACACCACTCCGATGTTAACGCAAGTTAACTGATACAAACTCACGGAAGTTTTTACCTTACCGCATTTACCACTCGTACGTCCACGTCAGTTACCCCAATCACGGAAGTTTGTACCGCATATATCACTCATATGTCCACGCTAGTTAACAAACTCACGGAAGTTTTTACCGCATATACCGCTAGTTATCACAATCACGGAAATTTTTACCGCATCAACTACATTTATAAGGTGTTTCGTCAGTTTTTTTAATGTGTCCATGTACATGATGTAAGTTTCCAAGTTGAATAGATTTAAGCTTTAACCACAACAATGATTCTTGTGGCGATGCAATTAATATACAAAGATCAAGAAAGTGTTAACCACATCTATTCCTTAATGTGGCAATACCATTTACCCAAATCACAAACATTTTACCACATCCTTGGCTCATATTACGATGCCAGTTACTCAAATCACAGAACTTTTTACCACATCCATGACTCATGTGACGATACCAGTCCCAAAATTACGAATGTTTTTACCACATCCGTGACTCATGTGGCGATACTAGTCCCAAAATTACGAATGTTTTTACCACATCAATGACTCATGTGGCGATACCAGTCCCAAAATTACGAATGTTTTTACCACATCCATGGATCATGTGGCGATGCCAGTTACTCATATCACAAAAGTTTTTACTACATTCTCGACTCTTGTGGCGATGCCAGTTACCATAATAACGAATGTTTTTACCACATCCATGACTCATGTGGCGATGCTAGTTACTCAAATCATAAAAGTTTTTACCACATTCACGACTCTTACGGTGATACAAGTTACCCAAAATAAGAATGTGTTTACCACATCCATGATTCATGTGGCGATACCATTTACCCAAATCACAAACGTTTTTATCACATCCATGGCTCATGTGGCGATGTCAGTTACTCAAATCACAAAAATGTTTACCACCTTTATGACCCATGGTGCGATGCCAGTTACTGGTTACCCAAAATACGAATGTTTTTACCACATTCATGGCTCATCTGGCGATACTAGTTACCTAAAATCACGAAAGTATAACACATTCATGACTCTTGTGGCGATGCCAGTTACCCAAGTTCTGAATGTTTTTACTACACCCATAACTCATGCAGTCAAGGGTACTACTTGTACAAGTAATTTTTATTTACTTGAAGAAGTACATAATAATATACTTATTTAAGTAAATTTTGTTTTGTTTATAATGTTTGAATAATCTCCCCTTAATTTTCCTAAAAATTTACTTGTATAAGTATTTTTTTTTTACAATCCCGAAAAATTCTTAAGCTTCAGATGTAAAAACATGCCTTTAACAATTTTTCTCAGGTTAGCTCATAATTTTTTATTAGAGTTCAATGATTCATCCCATTAATTCAACAGAGAAACTAATTACGTAAAAATCTTAAATAATGCGCAGGGCCTTCAAAAATTGTCCCATGGGGGATTGTAAATGAGCAGTGTTCTGAAGATAACAAACAAATGAGATTTTCGTTGTCCATGCAATTACACTTAAATGATTAGTAAAGGCATCTGCAAAGGACAGACAATTAAAAATTCTATTAGAGCAAAGAAGTCCTGAGAAATTCAAGAAAAGAAGATAGTAGATCTATGACTTGTTTATACTTGTATAAGTTAAAGAATCTAAATGTCTAAGGGACATATAGCTAAGCCAATAAAATAATTTACCTATACAAGTAAATAAAATACACTTGTATAACATGTATAAGTATCTTACAAATCTACTTATATAAGTATATTAATATTTACTTCTTCAATTAAATAAAAATTACTTGTACAAGTAGTACCCCTGACTGTCATGTTGAAATGCCAGTTACCTAAATCACGAAAGTTTTTTTTACCACATTCATGACTCTTCTGGCGATGCCAGTTACCCAAATATGAATGTTTTTACTACATCCATGACTCATAAGGCGATATTATTTACCCAAATCACGAAAGTTTTTACTTTATCCATGACTCATAAGGCGATGCACATTACTTAAACCACGGAAGTTTTTACTACATCCATGACTCATATGGCAATGCAAGTTACCCAAAATCACGAACGTGTTTAACCTAAGTATCCATGACTCATGCATGTGGCGATGCACAGTTACTCAAATCACGATTTTTTTTTTACCACATCCAATACACTTTTGGGATTCTAGTTATTAAAATCACGAAAGTTTTTACCATATCCAAAACTCATGGGGGCTAAATTCAATGAAGTTTTTAAATTTCATAACCAGAATGAGCTCCTTAGGAAAAAACCAATCCCCCCTTTTGAAGTTAAATGGTCGTTCCCTTATCACCAGTGTGTATTCTACTGTGCATCTGAAAGCTTTGTCTCTTTCCCACGCATACATGACATAACACATTTTAAATGTCTTATAAAGAGTGTTTTTTTCTAGTGTCTCTGTAAGTCACTACTAACACATTTATCACATATATTATTTATTACCAGTGTGTGTTCTGATGTGTTACATTGACTAATCCATTTACCACATACACTACAGTTATAATTTATTACCAGTGTGTGTTCTGATGTGTTACATTGACTAATCCATTTACCACATACACTACAGTTATAATTTATTACCAGTGTGTGTTCTGATGTGTAACATTGATTAATCAATTTACCACATACACTACAGTTATAATTTATCTCCAGTGTGTGTGTGTACTGAAGTGTAACACTGACTAATCCATTTACCACATACATTACAGTTATAATTTAGTTCAGTGTGTTCTGATGTGTAACATTGACTTATCTATTTACTACATACATTACAGTAACCGTTATAATTTATCTCCAGTGTGTGTTCTAATGTGTAACATTGACTAATCCATTTACCACATACACTACAGTTATAATTTATTACCAATGTGTGTTCTGATGTGAACGATTGACTAATCAATTTACTGCATAAGGACATCATTCGTAAATATAGCTCAACATGCAGACTTCTTATACGTTCAGGTATTTCACATCCAATTTTTTATGGAAATATTCTTTATAAAGCACAAAAATGTCAGTATTCACCTCTGAAGCTAACAAAACCTTTAAATAGACTTATTAAGAAGGGATATAGTTACGACACTGTTGTCAGGTCATTAAAGATTGCATATTTTGGCGTTAATATTGATTCACTTATATATAGGGTCTTTGCATCGGCACTAAACACATTTATTTAAAAACCAGTTGTTGGCATGACACGGGTTATGTTCTTCTCATATATGTTATGATGGTATGATACTAAACCCCTAACGGGAAGGATTGTGCCTGATATTCATATGATGAAGACATAATCTTTCAATCAGTTTAATTGAATTCTGGAGCTGGCATGTCAGTTAACTGCTAGTAGTCTGTTGTTATTTATGTATTATTGTCATTTTGTTTATTTTCTTTGGTTACATCTTCTGGCATCAGACTCGGACTTCTCTTGAACTGAATTTTAATGTGCGTATTGTTATGCGTTTACTTTTCTACATTGGCTAGAGGTATAGGGGGAGGGTTGAGATCTCATAAACATGTTTAACCCCGCCGCATTTTTGCGCCTGTCCCAAGTCAGGAGCCTCTAGCCTTTGTTAGTCTTGTATTATTTTTAATTTTAGTTTCTTGTGTACAATTTGGAGTTTAGTACGGCGTTCATTATCACTGAACTAGTATATATATTTGTTTAGGGGCCAGCTGAAGGACGCCTCCGGGTGCGGGAATTTCTCGCTGCATTGAAGACCTGTTGGTGACCTTCTGCTGTTGTCCGTTCTATGGTCGGGTTGTTGTCTCTTTGACACATTCCCCATTTCCATTCTCAATTTTATATACATATAGGGGGCCTCGGTGGCCGAGTGGTCTTAAGTAGTTACTACTGTAATCACTAGCCAGTCAACACTGAGGTTGTGAGTTCGAACCTCGCTCGTGCGGGTGCACTCGACTCCAATCTTAATTGACTAGGATTGTCAGTTTTCCTATCGAAGGTCCGTGGTTTTCTCCGGGCACTCCGGCTTCCTCCAACAATAAAAACTGACTGTCACGAAATAGCTCAAAAGCGGTGCTTAAAAGTGGCGTTAAAACACAAAAAAATCATATACATATATATCACTTGAATAAGGCATATCAACCGTGTATGATCCCATGTGTATAGTTAAGTTTGTTTAAAGAAACCCTTTACAACACATATCACATTTATAAAGTTTAATTATCACAAATGTGTTTTAATTCTCATGTGTTTCTGCCAGTTTGAATGATCACCAAACTCTCTACTACACATATCACATTTATAAGGTTTATCACCAGTATGTATTCTCATTGGTTTCTACAATGTTGAATTATCACCAAGCCCTTTACCACATATATCACATTTATACGGTTTATCCCCAGTGTGTGTTCTCATGTGTATCTGCATAGCATTACTCTGATTAAACTTTTTTCCACATATATCACATGTATAAGGTTTATAACCAGTATGCAATCTAATGTGTATGTGCAAGTTTGCAGAAACACCAAAACCTTTACCACACATTTCACATTTATATGGTTTATCACCAGTGTGTGTTCTTATGTGTGTCCTTAAGCTTGAACTCTGAGCAAAACTTTTACTGCATACATCACATTTATAGGGTTTATTATTAGTGTGTGTTCTTATGTGTATCCCTAAGGTTGAACTATAAGCATACCTTTTGCCACATATATCACATGTATAAGGTTTATCACCAGTATGTGATTTCATCTTTTGTAATTTTTTTAAGTTTGAACTATGACTAAACTGATCACCTATATCAGGTTTATCATCAGTTTGTGTTATCGTGTGTCTCTGCAATGTGGAACTTTGATCAAACCCTTTACCACATATATCACATTTATACGGTGTATCACCAGTGTGTATTCTCATGTGTCTCTGCATATCATTACTCTGAGAACACCTTTTACCACACAATTCACATTTATACGGTTTATCACCAGTATGTGTTCTCATGTGTCTCCATAAGGTTGAACTTTGAGCAAACCCTTTACCACACATATCACATGTATACGGTTTATCACCAGTGTGTGTTCATATGTGGCTGTTTAAGTTTGAGATGTCAGCAAAACTTTTACCACATACATCACATCTATAAGGTTTATCACCAGTTTGTGTTCGTTTGTGTCTTCCTAAGGCTGAACTATGAGCAAACCCTTTACCACATATATCACATGTATTGAGTTTATCACCAGTCTGTGATCTCATCTTAATTTGTAAGTTCATTGGTTTCTGTGCACTCTTTTTCACCTCATCTTCTTTGAGTGACGTGGAATCTAAATAAGATAAGTTAACTATTATAGAAAACAAATTTCAATATTCGGACATATAAATTAAAGTTTCGCCCAGGAAAATCAATAAAACATTTTATAAAAAGGGATGCTTATTTGGTCCTTTTTGTTAATTTCTACTTTTTTTGGACAGCGAGTTTCCTTTTTCACCTTCTTACATTGTAAATATTTCCAAACTCGTTTTCTATGCTTGTACCTGCGACTGGCCTAGCTTCAGACATGCCAAGAAGGATTGAGCTCTCACAAACATGTGCCTGTCAGTGGTAGATCCAGAATTTTTCATAAGGGGGCCGCTATAGTCATGCTTCAGTGATTTCCTATACAATCAACCAAATTTTTCCCAAAAAGGGAAGCCCGGCACGCTGCCCCTAAATCTACCTCTGCCTGTGACTGTCTCAGCTTCAGGCATGTCAGGAAGTGTTTGAACTCGCAAAAACATGTTAATCCCAACACATTCTATATGTGCCTATGACTGTCTCAGCTTTAGACATGCCAGGAAGGTTTGAACTCTCACAAACATGTTAGTCCCAACACATTCTATATGTGCCTTTGACTGTCTCAGCTTAAGACATGCCAGGAAGGGTTGAACTCTCAAAAACATGTTAATCCCAACACATTCTATATTTGCCTTTGACTGTCTCAGCTTTAGATATGCCAGGAAGGGTTGAACTCTCACATACATGTTAATCCCAACACATTCTATATTTGCCTTTGACTGTCTCAGCTTTAGATATGCCAGGAAGGGTTGAACTCTCACATACATGTTAATCCCAACACATTCTATATTTGCCTTTGACTGTCTCAGCTTAAGACGTGCCAGGAAGGGTTGAACTCTCAAAAACATGTTAATCCCAACACATTCTATATTTGCCTTTGACTGTCTCAGCTTTAGATATGCCAGGAAGGGTTGAACTCTCACATACATGTTAATCCCAACACATTCTATATTTGCCTTTGACTGTCTCAGCTTTAGATATGCCAGGAAGGGTTGAACTCTCACATACATGTTAATCCCAACACATTCTATATTTGCCTTTGACTGTCTCAGCTTTAGATATGCCAGGAAGGGTTGAACTCTCAAAAACATGTTAATCCCAACACATTCTATATTTGCCTTTGACTGTCTCAGCTTTAGATATGCCAGGAAGGGTTGAACTCTCACATACATGTTAATCCCAACACATTCTATATTTGCCTTTGACTGTCTCAGCTTTAGATATGCCAGGAAGGGTTGAACTCTCACATACATGTTAATCCCAACACATTCTATATTTGCCTTTGACTGTCTCAGCTTTAGATATGCCAGGAAGGGTTGAACTCTCACATACATGTTAATCCCAACACATTCTATATTTGCCTTTGACTGTCTCAGCTTTAGATATGCCAGGAAGGGTTGAACTCTCACATACATGTTAATCCCAACACATTCTATATTTGCCTTTGACTGTCTCAGCTTTAGATATGCCAGGAAGGGTTGAACTCTCACATACATGTTAATCCCAACACATTCTATATTTGCCTTTGACTGTCTCAGCTTTAGATATGCCAGGAAGGGTTGAACTCTCACATACATGTTAATCCCAACACATTCTATATTTGCCTTTGACTGTCTCAGCTTTAGATATGCCAGGAAGGGTTGAACTCTCACATACATGTTAATCCCAACACATTCTATATTTGCCTTTGACTGTCTCAGCTTTAGATATGCCAGGAAGGGTTGAACTCTCACATACATGTTAACACCCACCACATTCTTTATGTCCTGTTTGAAATCAGAACCTTGCATTTCAATGGTTGTATTTAGTTGCTGTCTGACATATTTAACAATGTTTTTTTTATTTAAATCCGTTGGATAGGACTGTCTAATTGGCAATCCTACCCCATCTCCTAAATTTATCAAGTTTATAAAAAGAATATGCATACATTTGTCTAAAAATAATTAATTGAAATCCTAATGTTACCTCCATTATGCAATGTTAGGATGTTTTCTAATTCTACTAACACCACACAGGAACATATATGTTGACGGGACTTGACACTACCTAATTATAACCGATTTTATCCGGGCGTCGGGTCATATTAATAAATGACACGATACGGAAACGGACATGTGTAAAATACGTACTCGCTATTATCTTAATAATTTCTGATAATATCAATAAAATGTCAGTGTCATTTAAACTAAGTAATAAGTGATGCCAGTGTATCGAACTTGTAATCAGTCTGTCACTTCAAATTTGTCATAATCGCATTCATTTCATCACAGAAGGGTACAAATTGCAAACGGGGTAATAAAAAAATGGCGCCGATGGCATTCCCAGTAACTGCGAATTTCACAAACCATCATAAAACACTTCACATAAAATAAATCACACTTATATTGGTCATTTTATATGACAAAATATATCTACTTTACTATAAAACTTGTATTTGTTGAACGTTTGGAATTATGTGGTTAATATATTGAGCAGTTCCGATAGTTTGTTAGTCAAACGCTTCCAAAATCCATAAATCTCGCGAAGGCTCGTAAAGTTCGGGATTTTATCAATTTTATACTTAAAAGCCTATCAGATTCATTTCCCGTTAGATATACTGTTTCGAGCACCACATACATGTAGCTGAATTTAATATTGATGTTTTGAAATTAAAGATTTGAAAGAGGCTATTAGCATTATTTGTAAATTAATATTTTTGTCCAACACTACTATGATAATTATATTTTCAAATTTTCTACTTACAAGTTTAATACCTTTTCTTGAATCAAACACTAAATTAAGTCATGTATTTCACAGCAAAATATACTTCAGTTATCTCCCTTTGGTAACGTTATCATTGATAACGTTACCAAAGGGAGATAACTGAAGTATATTATACACATGAAACGCCTGCTGTATCGAAGCCAGTAGAAGTCAATTTAGTAAAGGACTTCTGATACAGGTTTTCTAATTTGTATCGCCACTATTTCGGAATGAAATTTATAAAATTTTTATAACGATTTTCAGAAATTTTGAAAGTGATATCAAAAACTATACTGACCAAAACGAAACAAAATGAAAAAGAAGATATAATTATTAGTGACATAGTGTGCTAGTGACCTAATACTATATATATGGGGTCAGTAAATTCCATATTGGGTGAGAGCGAAATCCTAGCCCCCCAATAAAAATCAAATGGTAGCTCCCTTAGTGGTGAAGTTACATTTAACATTTAAGGCAAGCCGTTTTACTATTTATTTTGATTTCAAGATATCTAATAAACTTTATAAAATATCTCATATAGATTATAAGATATCTTATATAGTTTATAAGATATCTCATATAGTGTATAAGATACCTTAGTTTATAAGATATCTTATATAGTTTAAGAAATATCTTATAAACTATGCGATATCTTATAAACTATATGAGATATCTTGATGTAACTTTAAATAGTAAAACGGCTTTCCATAAACATTGGCTCTTTTTTCTTTAAAAAAATAAGAAAAAAATAACATGGATTTTATAAGATTTTGAAAATTGACTACAATTTTTTTTAAATCATGTAAAGAATCATGGACAAGTAGGGGTTTTATAGTGGGCAACATTGATTGACACTATATAGATAACACTAGAGGACTCCGAATATATGACAAACATACAAAAATAGAGGCAGCGAATATCATTAAGCAATGGCCAAATGATAGAAGCATACATTTTTACAAGTATTTTATATTTCCTTTGCATTTGAAAGCACACGCGTCTATGGTTTGTATATCTGCAAGAATAAATATGCAAACGCGAGAGAACAACCTGATGTTGGCAGCTTGAGAGAACAACCTGAAGTTGACAGCCTGCGAGAACAACCTGATGTTGACAGCCTGCGAGAACAACCTGATGTTGGCAGCTTGCGAGAACAACCTGATGTCGACAGCCTGCGAGAACAACATGAAGTAGGGAGTTTGCGAGAACAACCTGATGTTGGCAGCTTGCAAGAACAACCTGATGTTAGTAGCTTGCGAGAACAGCTTGATGTTGACAGCCTTCGAGAACAACCTGTAATTAATTTGTTGTTGTCAGCCTGCAACAGCTGTTGTCAGTATTAAGATGTAATGTTGACCGAGAAAAACCTGATGTTGACATCATGTATTAGCTGCTATAAAAATAAAAATGTAATGTTGGCCGAGAACAACCTTATGTTGGCAGCCTGCGACAAGTGCTGTCAGTGTTGAAGTGTGATGTTGACCAAGAACGACCTGATGTTGACAGCCTGCGACAAATATTTGAGCACAAGCTCTGCAGCGAACTTTTCACCGAATATCTATAATTCCTTATATTCACTTCATTTGAACTGTGGTGAATAGCTGTCTCACTGGCAATCATACCACATCTCCTCATTTTTATACTGATGTTGACAGACTGCAGTGTAAAAGTGTGATGTTGATCGATAACAACATGCTGTTGGCAACCTGTGATAGCTCCTATTGGTGTTTTAGTGTATTATTGACCGAGAACAACCTTTTGTTGGCAGCCAGCCACAGCTGTTGTCAAGGTAAAGGTCAAAGGCTGTGTCGAACGAGAACAACCTTTTGTTGGCAGCCTGCCACAGCTGTTGTCAAGGTAAAAGTCAAAGCAACTGTCAGTGTATAACTCCCCGAGAACAACCTTTTGTTGGCAACCTGCCACAGCTGCTGTCAGTGTAAAAGTCAAAGCAGCTCTCAGTGTATTATTGACCGAGTACAACCTTTTGTTGGCAGCCTGCCACAGCTGTTGTCAGTTTAAAAGTCAAAGCAGCTCTCAGTGTATTATTGACCGAGTACAACCTTTTGTTGGCAGCCTGCCACAGCTGTTGTCATTTCAAAAGTCAAAGCAGCTCTCAGTGTATTATTGACCGAGTACAACCTTTTGTTGGCAGCCTGCCACAGCTGTTGTCAGTGTAAAAAGCAAAGGAGCTGTCAGTGTATTATTGACCGAGAGCAACCTTTTGTTGACAGCCTGCCAGAGCTGTTGTCAGTGTTAAAGTCAAAGCAGCTCTCAGTGTATGATTGACCTAGAACAACCTTTTGTTGGCAGCCTGCCACAGCTGTTGTCAGTGTAAAAGTCAAAGCAGCTGTCAGTGTATTATAGACCGAAAATAACCTTTTGTTGGCAGCCTGCTACATGCAGCTGTTGTCAGTGTAAAAGATAAAGCAGCTGTCAGTGTATTATTGACCGAGAACAAAATTTTGTTGACAGCCTGCCACAGCTGTTGTCAGTGTAAAAGTCAAAGCAGCTGTCAGTGTATTATTGGCCGAGAACAACCTTTCGTTGGCAGCCTGCCACAGCTGTTGTCAGTGTAAAAGTCAAAGCAGCTGTCAGTGTATTATTGACCGAGAACAACCTTTCGTTGGCAGCCTGCCACAGCTGTTGTCAGTGTAAAAGTCAAAGCAACTCC